GCGCCCCCCCCCCCCCCCCCCGCAGGACTCTCACTCGCTCTGAGCATGGGCTCACGGTGTGAGACAGGGCCGGGGAGCAGCCATGACCCCGAAGAAGGGTCCTGGCCCACGGAGTCCGGCCAGTGACTGCTGGGAACACGTGGTGAGAATTCTGCTTTCAGCGCCCCCTGGTCTGTCACGGCCCCGGCTGCCTTTCGTCTTGGTTTTTCTTGCAGCATTTCTGCCTGGGATTCACTTACAGTCTCGCCCCCCGTCATTAATACGCCTGCCCCACTGCTGCGCCCAATCCCGCGGGTTTGAATGGACGGGACTGGGACACTCCACGTGAGGTAAGTAGGTTGGCTTGGATCGTTTCTGTTCATAACTGGAGGGACCTTGTAGGAGCCGGCTGTGCCCAGGAGTGGGCAGGGCAGTACGGGGCGGGGGCCTTTCCGGGTCTAACTCTGGGCTGGGAGTGAGCTGGCGTCCCCCCGGGGGTAACTCAGGCTGGGAAGGCCTGGGTGGGCCTGGTGGTTTGCAAGCGCGCACAGAGAGCGGGGAGAGGTGCGCAGGGCGGGGGTGAGTGTGAGCCGGCTGCCGGGAGGCTACCGCAGCGAAGCCGAGCTAAGCGTGTCCTCAGTTAGCGGGGCCAGGCTGACCCTGCTGCTCTGGATTGTGCCTTGGGGATGTCACAGTGGTGTAAACAGGGGAACTGGAGAGCTCCCCTCTGGGCCTGGCGCGGGTGCGACTCCTGCTGGAATCCTGTGTCCAGCCCTGGTGTCCCCTGAGCGCACCAGGCACCCGTAAGTCTGCCCAAAATGAGCTATTCCGCTCATGCCGGCAGCAAAAGCCCCCTAGCCCCAAAGCCTCCCCCAGCCCCAGCCATTCTTCCCCTTCCCCGCAGCCATCCCGCCCCTCTGCACGGCCCAGCCCGCAGGCTGAAAGTCCCGAGTCAGGCCCCTGAGATCACGAGCTGTGTTAGAGAATCCGCTGGTGCAGGCAGGTCTGTTTGTCCCTCCCCAGTGTGCGGGGAACTCTCCTCCCATTTCCGGTGCCCTAGTGGGCTCAGGAGCCATCGAGCCCCGAATTCCTAAATCCATCTTGTTCCCAAAGGCTCCGTCCAGCCATTCCCAAGCCCCCGTCCTCCGCATCAACTCACCCTCCCAGCCCCACTTGTAATTCCTCCTGTGCCCCCCATCCCGCAGGTGAGCCCTGCCCCCACCCCCTGCATCTGCCAAGGGGGCACCCCCTGAGCTCAGCCGGCAGCGTGAAGAACCCAGGCAGTGCGATGTCGCTGGTGCACCCACTCCTGCCCTGGCCGACTCTTGGATCTTCAGCTGCCCCCCTCCAAACCTCCCCAACTCACTCATGGTTAGATCTGGGGCTGCTAAAGGCCCTTATGATGTCATCACCACACCCACCGAGGGTTGCCAGGTGTCTGGTTTTCACCCAGTATTCGGGTCCCCCGCCTGGTAAAAAACCCCAGAAAATGCCTCATGTTTCATTTCCTGTTTCCCTCGGATGAAAGCCCAGTGGGGACAATTTTCCCCTGCCCTGTATGGCGGGGGGCAGGGAGGTGAGGCGTGCAGGGCCCTTTAAAGGCACAGCCCCCTCCCCCCCTTTTTTTTGCTTGTCAGCTTTGATCTTTGCCTTTTTTTTCTCAACAGAATTTTTCTGGGTGTTTTTGGGGGTGTTTGGTATTTTTTGTTAAACCATCTGACAGCCCTATACCCAGCCCCTGCCCCTGGTAGCCCCTTTGCATGGCTGAGCTGCTCCCCTCTTCCCCTCCCTCCACTCATTGTGAGTTTTGTGGATCAAGCCGGCTGCCCATGGGCACAGCAGAGGCTGTTGAGAGCCACACGCAGCCTGGCCTAGATCTGCAAAGTTTAAAACCAGAAAAGATTTGTAGATGGTCTAATCTGATCCCCTGCCCACCCCAGGCCCCCTGCCTGGTGCACTAGTGAGTTCTGCACCAAGGCCTCCTGGGACACCCCTCCTCACATGGGCTCAGAACCCAAATCTATCATCCCGGCCAGCCCCCTGTAGCACTGAAAGGAGGATGTGTGCACTGATGTTGTAACAGTCGTTTACACTGGGCTGGATAGTACACACAAGTGTTTTTATTCAGGACAAGCAGCGGGATTTCAGTGGCTGCAAGTGAAAACAGGCCGAGTACAGTGAATTGCAAGTTTAAAACAACCATAATGCAAGAGCCAATTCCAACATACACTCACGATCACGACAGTCACCCTAAAAGTGTCCTTATTGCAGCCAAGCCTCCAAACCAGGGAAGTCCCCTTTCCTCGGACTCTTTAGTTGTCCTCTTTGGTGGCCATGCCAGGCAAAGACCAAGGGACAGCCAGTTCCCCATTGTGTTACACAGGGCCGGCTTTGGGAAGTCCGGGGCACAATTTGAACAGTTTCGACGGAGCCCCGGCAACCAAGATTTTTTGTTGAGCACGGCATGTCACAGAGCTGTGGGAGGGGAGCAGCCAGCGCGGGACCCTCTTAGGCGCGGGGCCCGATTCGGGGGAATCGGTTGAATTGGCCTAAAGCCGGCCCTGGTGTTATAGATCCCACTTGGGGTGGGAATTCTCTGTTTCTACATTCCACCCTTTCACAGAAAGTTACCTGACCAGCCCCTACCCGCTGGGGTGGTCCCAAGTTTTCCTAAGACCAGTCTCTGCTTGGATTCAAAGGACAAAGGAAGCTGTTTACTGGTGATCACTCAGACATCGAAGGAAACACCCTGGGTGGCTTTTGTTTGCACATTTAAAGCCATCAGCCATTTCCTATCCCATCACACAAGGGTGAGACACACACCAAAGCAAGATCTACAGCCCCGGCAGACTGTGACATGGAGGGCGATAGGTTCCCTCAAACATTTTGTCCAAAGCATCTCGGAGTTCTGCATAGTTGTGTCCATCAGTCCAGTTCATAAAGCGGGGGAGGGGGGTTCGTCACAACGGTAACAGGTTGTCTTTCACGCTTGCAGATTTCCGCTGGGATGGCATCTTTTCCAAAAGCCTTGCCACTTGACGGCAAATGACTGACCTTGCTTAGCTCGTCTGCTGTGAGTCCCGCATCGAGCTCTGGTGTAACAGGTAGAGTTGGTATTTCATAGTCCAGCCTCCCACCTGTCCCCACAACCGCTAATGCGAGACCCTTTAGATACCATCCACCAACACGAGCACCGCCAAAGACCCTACAGGCCCCCCACTCACCTATCCAGAAACCGGGGCTGTCACGAAATTTAAAAAAAGAATGATGCTGAGTCGCGCTGTTACACAATAAGAGCTCGCCATTTCGTGGAATATTTCTGGATTTTTCTACATTGTCAGATATACTGATTTCAATTACAAAGCAGAATCCAAAGTCTACAGCACTCACATTATTTTTGATTACAGATATTTGCACTGTAAAAACAAAAGAAATATTATTTTTCGTTCACCTCCTACCGGTACCGTATTGCAATCTCTTTATGTTTTTTAAATTGTGCTTGATTGATTAGAGTCGGCTGCATGAGTTAACTGTAATTAATTGATAATCCTACCCCAAACCCCAACACCCACTCATCCTGTTTCTCCAACAGCCCTCAGTCCTCAGTGCACCCCCCATAGATCCTCCAGCCCCCACCCACCTGCTGTGGAATCTCCAGAAACCCCAGCACCCGTGTATGGGGGATAGATGTGTGTGCAGGGATAGATGAACAGACAACATTACAGGGGCTATTTAATGGGATGTGGAGCAGCCACTGTCTATGGGGTGCTTCTCCTCCCCGTGTGCTGCTGCCTCTGTCCATGGGACCCCCTGTGGACAGGGGCTGCTGCCACCCCATGGTCTTGCCTCTGTATCAGAGGCAGCAGCGCAGGGTGAGGGGAGCCCTTTTTCAACTGGCTCCCCTCGCGGACCAGCTCCTGCCTGGCACCCCACACTGCTGGCTCTGATCCAGCAGCAGCAATGCAGAGTGGGAGGGGGCTCCCTGGGAGTGGGGCTGGAGTGCACCCGCCCCCACGGACCATTGAATAGTCACGTAACTGTTAACATTTCATGCAGTCACATGACTATTTCCTTCCACGTATGTACCACCCCGCTATCTATATGTCTGGCGTGAGCCTTGAAAGGCACGTGACCCACCGAGGGTTGCCAGGTGTCTGGTTTTCACCCAGTATTCGGGTCCCCCGCCTGGTAAAAAACCCCAGAAAATGCCTCATGTTTCATTTCCTGTTTCCCTCGGATGAAAGCCCAGTGGGGACAATTTTCCCCTGCCCTGTATGGCGGGGGGCAGGGAGGTGAGGCGTGCAGGGCCCTTTAAAGGCACAGCCCCCTCCCCCCCTTTTTTTTGCTTGTCAGCTTTGATCTTTGCCTTTTTTTTCTCAACAGAATTTTTCTGGGTGTTTTTGGGGGTGTTTGGTATTTTTTGTTAAACCATCTGACAGCCCTATACCCAGCCCCTGCCCCTGGTAGCCCCTTTGCATGGCTGAGCTGCTCCCCTCTTCCCCTCCCTCCACTCATTGTGAGTTTTGTGGATCAAGCCGGCTGCCCATGGGCACAGCAGAGGCTGTTGAGAGCCACACGCAGCCTGGCCTAGATCTGCAAAGTTTAAAACCAGAAAAGATTTGTAGATGGTCTAATCTGATCCCCTGCCCACCCCAGGCCCCCTGCCTGGTGCACTAGTGAGTTCTGCACCAAGGCCTCCTGGGACACCCCTCCTCACATGGGCTCAGAACCCAAATCTATCATCCCGGCCAGCCCCCTGTAGCACTGAAAGGAGGATGTGTGCACTGATGTTGTAACAGTCGTTTACACTGGGCTGGATAGTACACACAAGTGTTTTTATTCAGGACAAGCAGCGGGATTTCAGTGGCTGCAAGTGAAAACAGGCCGAGTACAGTGAATTGCAAGTTTAAAACAACCATAATGCAAGAGCCAATTCCAACATACACTCACGATCACGACAGTCACCCTAAAAGTGTCCTTATTGCAGCCAAGCCTCCAAACCAGGGAAGTCCCCTTTCCTCGGACTCTTTAGTTGTCCTCTTTGGTGGCCATGCCAGGCAAAGACCAAGGGACAGCCAGTTCCCCATTGTGTTACACAGGGCCGGCTTTGGGAAGTCCGGGGCACAATTTGAACAGTTTCGACGGAGCCCCGGCAACCAAGATTTTTTGTTGAGCACGGCATGTCACAGAGCTGTGGGAGGGGAGCAGCCAGCGCGGGACCCTCTTAGGCGCGGGGCCCGATTCGGGGGAATCGGTTGAATTGGCCTAAAGCCGGCCCTGGTGTTATAGATCCCACTTGGGGTGGGAATTCTCTGTTTCTACATTCCACCCTTTCACAGAAAGTTACCTGACCAGCCCCTACCCGCTGGGGTGGTCCCAAGTTTTCCTAAGACCAGTCTCTGCTTGGATTCAAAGGACAAAGGAAGCTGTTTACTGGTGATCACTCAGACATCGAAGGAAACACCCTGGGTGGCTTTTGTTTGCACATTTAAAGCCATCAGCCATTTCCTATCCCATCACACAAGGGTGAGACACACACCAAAGCAAGATCTACAGCCCCGGCAGACTGTGACATGGAGGGCGATAGGTTCCCTCAAACATTTTGTCCAAAGCATCTCGGAGTTCTGCATAGTTGTGTCCATCAGTCCAGTTCATAAAGCGGGGGAGGGGGGTTCGTCACAACGGTAACAGGTTGTCTTTCACGCTTGCAGATTTCCGCTGGGATGGCATCTTTTCCAAAAGCCTTGCCACTTGACGGCAAATGACTGACCTTGCTTAGCTCGTCTGCTGTGAGTCCCGCATCGAGCTCTGGTGTAACAGGTAGAGTTGCTATTTCATAGTCCAGCCTCCCACCTGTCCCCACAACCGCTAATGCGAGACCCTTTAGATACCATCCACCAACACCAGCACTGCCAAAGACCCTCCAGGACCCCCACTCACCTATCCAGAGACCAGGGCTGTCACGAAATTTAAAAAAAGAATGATGCTGAATCGCGCTGTTACACAATAAGCGCTCGCCATTTCGTGGAATATTTCTGGATTTTTCTACATTGTCAGATATACTGATTTCAATTACAAAGCAGAATCCAAAGTCTACAGCACTCACATTATTTTTGATTACAGATATTTGCACTGTAAAAACAAAAGAAATATTATTTTTCGTTCACCTCCTACCGGTACCGTATTGCAATCTCTTTATGTTTTTTAAATTGTGCTTGATTGATTAGAGTCGGCTGCATGAGTTAACTGTAATTAATTGATAATCCTACCCCAAACCCCAACACCCACTCATCCTGTTTCTCCAACAGCCCTCAGTCCTCAGTGCACCCCCCATAGATCCTCCAGCCCCCACCCACCTGCTGTGGAATCTCCAGAAACCCCAGCACCCGTGTATGGGGGATAGATGTGTGTGCAGGGATAGATGAACAGACAACATTACAGGGGCTATTTAATGGGATGTGGAGCAGCCACTGTCTATGGGGTGCTTCTCCTCCCCGTGTGCTGCTGCCTCTGTCCATGGGACCCCCTGTGGACAGGGGCTGCTGCCACCCCATGGTCTTGCCTCTGTATCAGAGGCAGCAGCGCAGGGTGAGGGGAGCCCTTTTTCAACTGGCTCCCCTCGCGGACCAGCTCCTGCCTGGCACCCCACACTGCTGGCTCTGATCCAGCAGCAGCAATGCAGAGTGGGAGGGGGCTCCCTGGGAGTGGGGCTGGAGTGCACCCGCCCCCACGGACCATTGAATAGTCACGTAACTGTTAACATTTCATGCAGTCACATGACTATTTCCTTCCACGTATGTACCACCCCGCTATCTATATGTCTGGCGTGAGCCTTGAAAGGCACGTGAGAAAAGGGGGAGGGGAGAGAGGGAAAGTGAGAACCCCAAAGGTCCCCCAACCCT